GCACCAGAAAGTTGGGAGATGCTATCCCACCTGGCAGGACCTCGGCAGGGCAGTGGGTCAGCAAGGAGCCTCTGGGAAGACGGAGAGCTGTGGGGGACGGAGGGGAGCGCTCGGCCCCCGAGCCTTGAAGCCACCTAAGGGTTTGCAAGGTCTCTAGCGGGGATCTCAAAAAAGAAAAACCCAATTTGGCCAAATTGGTGGCCTGAGGTGACACGGACACATTCCCACCATGGCTTCAGGACAACTCACATCATTCACGGTCATCTCGCGTCCTTCTGAAACCCGGGATAAGAGTGACCCCGACCCCCCAAGCCATGCCCTGCCTGCGCAGCAGCCCTCCCGCATCACCCCGGGGGCCGTTTCAGCTGGGAAGCCATCACGTAACCCCACGCCACAAAGCAAAGGAGCTCTTGAGGAGAGGAGCAGCAGCTCAGGAAGGGGAAGATGGGGCTGAAGCCGACCTATGCGCTGCTCCAAGCTGCCACCATGGGAAAGCACCGCTGTCCTCACCCCTGCAGCTGCCTCCCTCTCCCCTGCTCCAAGGGCGACAATAAATCGAGTCCTGTTTCCTTTCAGCCAGGCAGTTTTTCACCGAACTGTCACTTCTGATCATGTTTGAGCAGCCTCAGCTGGCAAATTTGCCCATTTCAGCAGCCTCGCTCTCCTCCGCGCAGGACAAGGCTGGCTCCGACATGGCCACCCAGCCTGGCTGGGGATGGATGGGGCTGGGGCAGGCAGGGGAAGAGACGGAGCCACTGCTGCTGGGGACATGGCTCTGGCAGGGGGTCATGGCAGGAACCCCCAACTGTCCCAGCACAGCCTGGAGAGGCCAGGCAGGGAGTGCGGCGGGGCTCCAAGAGGGCAACCAAAGCCTCACTGGAATGTGCCTTGTGGGTGAGCAGGGGTTCAGCTCTCATCTCTTGGGCACAGAGGTTTCCATCAGCTCTCACATCCACTTCTCCATTCCCCAGGCACCTTGCTCGGTCCCCCAGTGAGCCACTGCCCATCCCCTGCATCCCACTTCCCAAGGCCAGTCCCTGTACCGGGAGGTGGCCCAGTGCCCGGATCCAGCTTGTCTTTTCCCTCTGGCATGCAGCAAGGTGCCAGCCATCCCGTGGAAACCCCCCTCTCTGCTTTGCTCCTCCAAGCACAGTGTAGCCATCCCGCTATGCGTTCACCCAGCAAAAACGGGGAACCCTGGAAACTCTAATTTGGGAAAAAGAGGCACAGCCCGGGCTGAACCCCCAAAGGCCAGGGCCACCTAGGAAGACGAGAAGCCAAGCAGCCAACACCAAGATACTGGGGATGGGTGCAACAGGAACCACACATCCCATGCTGCTAACAAGCTCCCTGGGGGAGCCAGCACCCCCAGGCAGCTCAGCCTGGAGCCACCCTGGGTATCGGCATCCCCAAACCCTGCCGGGAAGGACTGGCTCCCCTCCCACATCGCCCCAGCAGGACACTGATGCCCCAGCGTCGCTCCCCTCTTGGTGCACCCAGGCCCTCTCTTTCCCCCCGTTCAATCAAATATTCATCGCCTCTGCCGCTAAATAATAGCTCAATGCGCTGCCAGGAGGGGCACGGCTCCTCCGCGCTTGCCGAAGCTCGCACACAGCCATCAGGAGAGGGGCTGGGGCAGGCAGAGCAGCAGGAAGGCACGGCAGGAGCTGCCCACCGAGACCCCTCTCGGGCTGTACAGGCAGGCAGAACAGGCAGGGCTCTTCGGAGGACGGAAGCAAGCGGGGATGAGGCAGAGCACACCAGGGAAGGTGCCCCCCTGTGGCACTGGGGCTCAGCGGGTGATGCCATCGGTTGCACCCGGATGCTGCTGGACAGACTCAGCTCCAGGAAAATGAGCACCTGAGACTCTGGGCAGAGCTACGTGCTTAGAAACCATCTGTTCATGCCAGCAAGCCCGAGTCGAGAGGCTACTTTTGTTTGCTTTCACCTTCCACGCGCCGCAGTGGGGTCACGCTGGAGAGCACGCTGCTGAGAGCGAGCCGGGAGCGAGGGCCTGCTGAGCGCTGCGCTGATGCCAAAGCCCCAGAAAATAATTAAGTACAAAATAACTAATCGTGATTGACACTGGCCGCCTGGAGACCTATCAGCCGCCTTCCAAAAATGCTTCCCCTCTTTCCGATGACCCTGACGATGGCGAAGAAGGGATGGAATTGGTGCGGAGGCAGCCGCAGCCCCCGGCCCCTTCCTTGCGTGCCGAGTATGTTTGTCCTCAGCAGAGCTGCCAGCACCCCGCTCTGCACAGAGCGGCGGCAGAAAGCAGAGACCCTGGGCCGCGTCCCACAGCTTCTACAGCCATTGGCTTCGCTCAGAGCCGCAGGCACCCAGCACCTCGCCGGGGGAGCTCAGGAGCAAGGAGGACAGCAGACGACAGCTTAAATGGAGAGATGTGCTCCAAGGTCAGGAGGCTCAAGAAAACAAATCCAAGCTTTTTTTGCACATCCAAGTCGCCTGGTTCCGCCTGGCACCAGCCACACCGACAGGCGAGAAGAAATGGCAGCGCCTTCCGTTGGGAACTCCTGAAGTCTTTAATTTGAGGAAACCGTAATAAAGCTGCTGGTGGGGAGTTTCATGAGCTGTGACCGAAAGGTGCTGCGTCCACACAGAGCATTACTAAATACAATGCTCACCATGAAATTGCATGCTCATTGCTGTTACTTCAGTATTTTGTGAGAAGGAGGGAAGAGTGGGCTTCATCTGCTGCCACATCAGGAGTGAGAGCCCAAGGCTGCCACACGTAGAGCATCCTCAGCTGCCTCAGGGAGAGGAGAAGGGGCTCAGCACCTCCCCGGTCCCCCGCTCACCCTGCGAGGCAGCAGGGTGTCAGGGCCCCGCATCTGGATTTGCGCTGCTTAGGCACGGCCAGAGGAGCCAAGTGCTACCGGCAGGGACCACCACCCTCTCCCACCCTCCCAGGAGCATCCCAGCACTGCCTGAACCTCCGTCAGGGCAGGACCGCTTGAAACACTGGCAGAGCTGAGGTGGATCAAGAAATAACCCAAATCCAGGCAATCGGGGTTGAGGGGGGACTGCACCGAAAAGCAGACGGGGACATTGCTGCACCCATCCTCCAACAGGCAGAGGAAAGCTCAAAAGCTGTCACAGACACCCCAGGATCTGCAGGGTCATGAAGATCTTATGGCCACCACGCCTGTGATCTCCCTTGAGCGGCTCCCCAAGGAAGGGAGTAAAAAAGGATGGGAAAAGAGATTGTGGCTTTCTCTTCCTCCAACTCAAAGGTGGTTGCACAGATCCCAGAACAGAAAATACTTGGGAAGGGAGGACCAGTCTCAATCCATAAGGTGTCTCCTTCAAGGCGACGTCTTCAAGGCATCTCCAGTGAGCGGCTGGGCAGAGAGGAGATGTGCTGGCTGCCCCCTCCAGCGGGATCTCCTCTCACACCAAGGCTCAGAAAACCCACGTGGGACTTCGGTGTCGAGATGCGGAGCCCAAGGGGACCAGCTGCCCCCTCCCACCTCGCCTCCCGGCTTTGACCCTGCTGCTGCCCCGGACGGCCGCTCAACCGCTGCAGCAGCGCCACCGGCAGCAAACCAAGACCCTGGCATCAGCAGGCCGGCAGTGGTGGGACAAGGATGCTCGCCGGGCACCATCTCCCTTTGCACAAGCCCAGGGCCTCCCCACAGGGTGCCACCCTCCCAGGGTGACAGCAGTTGTGCCCGCCCAGGGCACCACAACATTACAGGGATGCAGGAGATCATGAGGACATCCAAGATCCTCAGGCAGGAGCAGCACAAGCAACCCGAAGGCTTGCCACATCCTCGGCCCTCTCAAGCAGCAGAGACAAGCCGGAGCAAGGATGTGATGCCTTGCCAGACCTGGTTCTGCTGCTGTGCCCAGCAGTGACGGTGATCACAGTGCCGACATCCAAGCTCAACTCTTTAGTCTCAGAGGCGAGGCCAACCTCTCACAGCTATTATTATTTTAAGCTGGTTTTGTGCAGACTCAGCAGATGACACCGCATCACATTGCACCTACAAAAGCTCATCTGTGCGACTGGAAGGGCGGGAGGGTGGCGGAGGAGCTGCCAAGAGCTGCTGGCGGGGAGCCCAGCCTGGGGCAGGGGTCTTCCACATGAGGAAGTCCAACATCATTTGCTGTCTAAAATTGGAAAAACCTTCCCAGACCTTCCCAGGAGGGCAGGGGACTCCGCCACCGCGGGCACGCCAGCAGCGGTGTCCCAGGGAAAGCACCGAGAAGCTGGGGCACAGGGCAGCAGCTGCACCGAGCATCCTCCGTCCATGCCACGGGGCCGTGCACCCCTGAGCGGTGCAGAAAGGAGCACACGCAGCTGCCGGAGCCACCAACCTGAAGCAGCTTTTGCTCATATGGGTCCTGCTGTCCCTCTCCAAAAGGGGCAGGTAGGTACGAAGGCAACCGTAGGAAGGTGCTGGAGGGAGCAGGCTGTGAGATGCCTTTGGCCAACCCAGGCCGGTGCCCAACGCAGCCACCCTGACGCAAGGCAGACAAAAAGGCAAAGAGCCGAGTGAGCGCCGCGAAAACACGGGACCTTGAAGCACTGCGAAACTGCTCCAATTAGACTCTTCATTGCAGCGCTAAATGGACAGAGCTCCCAGAAAGCAATTTCCAGGCTTGCTTTTACGCCGCACGCGATTAAGAATTAAAGCAATCCAAACCTGAAGATGTGTTAAATAAAATGACCAAACTCCCCAGGAGGCGAGGAGAGTCGTTATGGTTTTTTCATGCCCGTTACACAAGCGTGGGCAACCCGCAGGGCAGGAGGAGACGGCTGCCCCCGCCAGCAGCCGGCTTGGCTGCCCCCTC